CCCCCCCTAGCAAAAGGCAAGGGTGTCAGCCGCCCCCCCCCCTGCCCCCCCAGTTCCGGCGTCCCTGTTTATATAAAATATTGATTTTCTGCTCTTGGGAATTTAAAACAGCTTCTTAACGGTTTCTTTCTGCATAAAATTTACTTACGTCAAGCTCTTTCGATGAATCGTATACTATACGATCGAAAGAGTTTTGCAAATTACAATATCAGATTTCAAATATTGTAAACAGTCGCTATCGCGGCATTGATTGGCTGGTCGTTGCCGGAAATAGGTGTTTGTTATTTGCATCCCCCCCTGACAATCCAAACGGAAAAGGAGGCTCGGTCGCCAAGCAAGCACCGTAGTAATTATCGGGCTTTCTAAGTTCCATAGAATTTTAGTCTCGAAACATTTCGCTAATTTTCCATTCCAAAAATTATAGGACGTTTTAATATTGCCTTGTATGTTCGAAGATGGGTGTTTATTCTATACGCTGGCGAAGTTTTACCGAGAACAAAGCAATTTAAAGGGGATATTTTTCGAGTTGAATTATTCGTGTCGCTGTTTTGTGAACTGGAATCGTTATAGCCTTTGCTTTCATTGTTATAACCTATGAAGACAGTCGCAGGCATAGAGTGTAAAGTCGCTAAGAAATGAAAGACGATCACATACAATCAAAGTAGGCAAGTAAATATATTTTAAAATATAAAATTCATTACAAATTTTACTGTGTAGTATATTCTATAATGTATATTTTTAATACTATACACTAATGCACGTCTGGGCCGCCTGTGACTCACCCTGTATAGGCGAAATTTTTCGACCGAATCGAAATTTTCTTTTGTCTTAAGGCGGTTTTCCACTAGGCGAAATTTTTCGACCGAATCGAAATTTCTCTTTGTTTCATGAGCTCTCGGGCAGAACTAATTGTAAAAAGACAAAGAGAAATTTCTTTTCGGTCGAAAAATTCCGCCTCGTGGAATCAGGCCTTTACTAGCACTCAGATGGAACTAATCAGGCAGGTCTTTTGAATTTGAACAATAGAAATTTCGGTTCGATCGAAAAATTTCGCCTAGTGGAAAACCGCCTTTAATAACTGCGGTTTTGATTAATTCTTGCAATAACTTTTGGTCGGGGAAATAAATCGGTGATTGTTAAATATTTTTTGTATTGCCTATTGGAATAGATAAATGTGATTTTGTTGTTGTAATGCATTTCTTGCTGTAGTATAATGGACCGATAAGATTTTGATAAATATGCAAATCAGTTACAAACACTCGTAGTTGTAACAGAAAAGATGCAACCACTTGTATGAACCTCGTTTGTACGGGGTATACTGGAGTGTCCATGTGACGCAAGCCGTGAAATTTGGTTTGCTATATATAACCTCATTAATTATTCATGAATTTCACAGAGTTCAATAACTACTTCTCTTCAGTGAATACTTTACAAGAAACTCTCCAGTATCAATCCAACAACGCTACTACGACAGATGTAAATGACACTATTTCCTCTGGTTCACCTATACGCAGTCAATAGATCAATAATCAGTAACGGAAAGTGATGTTCTGAGAACCCTAAAATCTCTCGACCCATATAAAGCATTATAGGACCAGATGAAATCTCTGGTAGAATTCTGAAAGTAACAGCCAATCAAATTGCTCCGTCGCTCACTTGCCAGTTTTAACAAATCTCTTCAAGTTGGGGTAGTACCTGGTGAGTGGAAGCTTTCAAATGTCATTCCAGTATTTAAAAAAGGAGAAAAGGATCGCGTAGAAAACTACAGACCTATTTCTCTTTTATTAGCATCGAAATTGTTGGAACGATGCATATTAAACCACATTAGATTCTATCTACAAAACATAATTAATCGCTGTCCGCATGGTTTTATTCGCGGGAAATCCTGCACTACTCAACTCATCCAAGTTATAGAGGATTCTTCCGGTGGCTTCCTTCCTTGTTTCCAGTCCTATCTTCACCATCTTCCACAAAAAGTGACACCGTTAGGATCGACATCTATGTCGATGCCCGTGACATCCGGAGTACCACAAGGATTTATCTTGGGTCCAATCCTGTTCCTGCTTTACGTCAATGATCTACCCGATGCGATATCCTCGTCTACAATTGCGACTTTTGCAGACGATATCAAATTGTTCCAATGCATATCGTGTGAAGCAGACGGCTTTTTCTTATAAGAAGATCTGACCAATATAAACAACTGGTCATCGTCTTCTGAGTTCTGATCTTATGTTTAAACAGCCTAAATGTAAAGTTCAGACAATATCTAGCTCGTAAACGAAAGCCCATTATCGCCTCATACTCTATGGGAAATGCGCAACTCGGCAGCAACCCGACTGTTTCCAATAACGTGACCTTAGAGTATGGATCTCGCCTGATTTATCGTGGAAGAAGCAGGTAGAATCGCAGAGTACAATTTTTGAGGTACGTGGAAAAAACGACAAAAAATTTAAAGTCTCTCGCAACAAGACGAACAATTTATTTAACAATTGCACATCTAACATTTAACAATTGCTTATCTTGGTTACGCAACGCAAGTATGTGCGCTTCAAACTGTAGAGCAAATAAGAAAGATTGATCGGTTTCAGCGACATGCAACGAAATACTGCCATTTAACTGCGATGTCTGCCATTTAACTGCGACGTCTCATACAAAGACAGACTAATTCAATGTAACTTAATTCCATTAACTTACTGGCTTGAGTACTTGGACATAGTATTTTTCTTCAAACTATTAAACAATCTTATCCATGTGGACAATACTTTCTTTCCGAAATCAAGGAAATCTGAGAGATTAACAAGATTGTCGC